CCTTTGATGTCACTTCCTGTTTCACTTTGGCTGAGCCAAGTTCAAAAGAAAATAGGCCAGTTGTGAGAAAAATGGGTTAAATCTTGTGTTTTATGTCAAGTTTCTTTTTGACTTTTTGTATTTGAGGGATAGGCATGTCACAGGCTCTTTAAGCCCCGCCTCCTGCTGTTTAATTATAGCTGCCCCTTGTTATGACCGACACTAACCCCTCCTCTGATCAGATCTCAGGTGGTCCTAACAGGAACATGAGGGGGCTGGACCCTCAGGTCCAAACAGATCAGYTTTAACCAGAACATAACTAAACAACATAAAGTCTGTAAATCTAYATTTCTCCGATCAACTCTCAGCTTTCGCATTCTGTTCAGATAATCTGAACATTTCAGCAACAAACTCTCCTGAAAGGTTGTTTGATGTGGGTCAGACGACCAGAACCTCTGTTTTAGMGCGAAGAAGACATTTTTGGTTAAATCTGAGCTAAATGAAGTTATAAAGACCCGACTAACTGAACTAAAGTTGGTCTAAAGGTGTCCAGAGACCTTCAGGACTAACTGAGGACTACAAGTAGACCAGAAGGTAAGTGTCTCCGCCTCTTTTTGGGTTCAAGCTAATGGCCCCGCCTACTTTTGGGTGACAACAAACTGGAGATGAGAGTTTCTGCTTGTTTTGTTCACAGCTAAAATAAAAAGTGGAAACATTTCTGCAGGTGCAGGTTGAGCCAACATTCAGGACACTTGTTTAATGATGTTTACTGATTATTTTATTTTGTTTAGGTTTCTCYTGATCATAACAAACAGACAACATTCAGTCCAGAAATAGTTTCTTTAGCTGTTTCTAAACTCTTCTCTCCTGCTGCAGTAAGATCCCAGAATAACCTGAATGTTGTAACATACAGTTGTGTTAAAGCGTGGGTGGAGGAGAGAACAGTGGAAGGAGCTGATGATAACTGTAGTGAGAGCCCCCCACTCCCACTCCCATACACACCCACCCCCCACCGCTCCGAACAGCGGGAGGCGCCGACGATAAAGAGCAGCTGAAAGTGGGAGGAAGAAGAGGGAAGCCTGACAGAGTCAGAAAATGAGGTTTTCTCGTTATGGGGGGGGGGGGGGGGTAACCATCAAACAGGAAGTGATGATGAAGAGCAGCAGAGACGAAGAGGAGTTCAGGTAGATAATAAAGTGAACACGAGGAGTCCTGCACCGACATCCACTCAGTCAGGAGACGAGAGCAGCGGGATGCACCAAGACATGTCTGAAAACAGCTGCAGCATCCTGAGAGGACAGAGACGCTGTCCCCCTGCAGGTCCAACAGCTGGTGGTGTGGTGGTCCCCAGGTTCTGTAAAACAACTTACTTACTGGTTACATTTGTTCAATTGGATCCAGAATGTGGTTCTTTCAGTCCTGATCCAAACCTCATGACCACAGGAACGTAGATRGACCAGTAAATTCTGAGCTTTTCAGTCCCACATTTTAAAGACGGGGACCACCAAAACAAAACAAAACAAAACCAAAAAAAAAAAAGCCCCTCAGTGGCAGGGTGCCGGGGGTGGATGAGATTCTCCCGGAGTTCCTTAAGGCTCTGGATGTTGTGGGGTTGTGTTGGTTGACGTGACTCTACAATATTGCGTGGACATCGGGGGCAGTTCCCCTGGATTGGCAGACCAGGGTGGTGGTCCCCCTGTTTAAAAAGGGGGCCTCAGAGTGTGTTCCACTATAGGGGGATCACACTTCTGAGGCTACCTGGTAAGGTCTATTCAGGGGTCCTGTAGAGAAGGGTCCATCGGATAGGTGAATCTCAGATTCAGGAAGAGCAGTGTGGTTTTGGTCGTGGAACAGTGGACCAGGTCTACACCCTCAGCAGGGTCCTGGAGGGTGCATGGGAGTTTGCTATGGGGGATACTCTGGTACTATGGGGTACCAGGCCCGTTGATACGGGCTGTTAGGTCCCTGTAGGTCCGGTGCCAGAGCTTGGTCCACATTGCCGGTAGTAAGTCGGACTTGTTTCCAGTGAGAGTTGGACTCCACCAAGGTTGTCCTTTGTCACAGATTCTCTTCATAACCCAGACCATGGTCTTGAGCCGGAAAAGTGTAGGATGTCTTCTCCGGGTTGAGGAAGAGGTTTGTGTTGGGTCGGTCAGCGTGTGTGAGCTGAAGGTTTGTGTTGGGTCGGTGGGCGTGTGCGAGCCGAAGGTTTGTGTTGGGTCGATCGGCGTGTGCGAGCTGAAGGTTTGTGTTGGTCGGTGTGTGTGAGCTGAAGGTTTGTGTTGGTCGGTGTGTGCGAGCTGAAGGTTTGTGTTGGTCGGTGTGTGCGAGCTGAAGCCTGCGTTGCCTCGGCAGCGTTTGATCGTCCCGTGGAAACGTCCTGTGTGTTTTCCAAAGAGCCACGGTCTCTTCTGGCTCCTGCTCATAAATTATTCATTCGCATTAAAAACGCTTCAGGCCCGTTTGAAACACTTTGTCTTTCTCTGCGTCTCTTTCYTTCCCTCTGGTTGACATTTACAGTCTCCTTTTCCCTTTTTCACCCTCCATTTCTTTTATTACTTTTCATAAAGTTTGGGGAGAAAAACTCCATCCATGTGGCAAACAGAGCCTGTTAAAACAAATCTCAGTTTAAAGCTTTAAAGGCTCGTTTGTTGTTGGCTGCAGTGACCGTAATAATCAGATTTACACTCAGGTTAGGAGCTCAGCTCAACGCTGGTTTTATTCACACAAGGTGTAGTTTTAAAKAAAACACTGATCTGTTTATTTTTTATGTTCCAGATTGATCATCTTTACTCAGCTTTCTGGTCTCTAACTGCTCCTGAGGGAAATATTTCACTGTTAATCTAATAAAAGCTTAATGGTCATCAGCCTGTCCCTAACTGAGGCTTTCATTGAGCTGAAACTACACAATAAAACTGAACAGAACCTGCAGCCACARAGCCAATCAGGTCCTAGACATGGAAACACAAACAGGTCCTCCTGGAAGCTTCTGGTTGTTTCCTACTTATGGGACAACATGACAGACTGATGGAGTCTGAAWACTGAGTTCTGCTGCTGGGTCAGAACCTGGAACCAGCTTGGCTTTGGAGACCATGTTCACAGAGTTTTAGGACCTGACATAAAAAACTTTTCACTTTTCTCTGATTGAGTTACTTCGTGTCTTACTTCCTGTTTTACTTCCCGATTTGCTTCTGGACTTCCTGTTTTACTTCCTGCTTTACGTTTTACTTGAGTTCCTGGTTGTGTCCAAAATGGCAGGCCGGGTCCTCAGAAGGCCGAATCTGTCGGCCGCATACGTCACAGCACCGCGATGAAGGACGTCCAAAACCGAAGACTCCTCCGATGCGGCCGAGAAAATACGTTCTTCTTTTTCCTCGATCTGAAGGACAGGTCTGATGGATCCTTCCCGGCCCAGCATATCCCATAATGCATTGCAGACCGACCGGAGATTTTTTTAWGCTAGTAATGGCGGACGAAGCGAGAGAAAAGAATATGTTTTTAATAAAAATATGGTGATATAAAAATAAAAGAAATAAGCGGTTTTAATTCTAATACTTTTATCATTTGTATGGACATGTTT